ATATATATGTTCAGGAAGGATAAATACACCCATACTTTAACTCTAAAACACAGGATTATGGCATTACTAATTAATTAATTGAGTATAGACACAGATAAGTCAGGGCTAACATGGCTGTTCTGTCCACAGCCATCCCAGAACCCAGGCTTCTTCTATCTTTCTGCTCTACCATCCCTAGGGCAGCACCCTCCTCCACATGGTCCCGGATGATACACCACCACACCCTTGCTCCAAGCAAGGGGATGAAAAAACAGAAGAATAAAGTGTGTAGTACATCTGTTCCCTTCTGTTATTAATGAAGGTATGGCTTCAGCTACTGTATCAGGGAAGCACCAAAACAGAGCAGCTGAGACAGGATAGGATAAATACACCCATAAGGATATGGAAGGATAAATACACCCATAGCTTATCTCTAAAACACAGGATTATGGTATTACTAATCAATTAATTGAGTATAGACAGATAAGTCAGGGCTAACATGGCTTTTCTGTCCACAGCCATCCCAGAACCCAGGCTCCTTCTATCTTTCTGCTCTGCCATCCCTAGGGTAGCACCCTGCTCCACATGGTCCTGGATGATACACCACCACACCCTTGCTCCAAGCAAGGGGATGAAAAAACAGAAGAATAAAGTGTGTAGTACATCTGTTCCCTTCTGTTATTAATGAAGGTATGGCTTCAGCTACTGTATCAGGGAAGCACCAAAACAGAGCAGCTGAGACAAAAATTGTTTCTCTCTCTCAAGTAACAGTTGAGGACAGGTGGGCAGGCTCTGTTCCACGCGATGATCCAAGGATCAAGGTTAGTGGGGTGCTCTGCTATCCTCAGCACACAGCTTCCATTTCTGAGTCTAAGGAGTTGCTCCAATGATTGCCTATTTCCAGCCAGGGGGAAAGGAATTTTTAAAAAGAGGCCAGGGCACATATCTTAAAGATATGGCCCAGAAGTTATACATATCGGTCCCCTCACTTCTTATTGGCAAAAACTTAGGCAAACGGCTATACCTAACTGCAAGGGAGACTAGGAAATGTAATCTTAATTTGAGTGGCCACAGAGTAGCTAAAAATTCTATTGCTATAGAAAGAGCATGGCTTTTTGTTTGTTTTTCTCTGTGTTTTGATGTGTATGTGTATTTTCTAATTTTCCTCCCATGATGCCAAAATAAATTTTATTTGTAGAAGTGAAGAAGCATTTCCTCCTAAATCTGCAATCCAGGGAGAATACCTACATGTATCTCTTCTTTCTTAAAAAATATGTAATATTTTACATTTACACTTTTCCTATTTTAGAATAAAATTCCTTTAACTTCATGTCTCTCTTTTAAATCATAATCACCCTCATCATAAAAGTTTACACTTGAGTAAATTTTTTGAATTTACCAAGTGCCTTCATGTATGAAATATACAACAGAAAAGGTACCAAAAGCAATGAAAGTACTAGAGGGGCATTTCCTAGAACTACATCAATAAGATGCCGCCATTGCCCATGTGGTCTCCCAAGACGCTTGCCTGTGCACTTGCTAATGGCAACTGCTCACAAAGAACCCAGTTCTTCGGCAACAGAAGTCGCCAGGAGATTTCCCTGTGATGGAGTAACATTGGCCTACAAACATGTGAACAGTAATCCTTCAGCTTGGGACAGAATGTATGCTAAACCAAAGTCTGCCGTAAAAGTCTGTAAGCTATTATATTCTAGCCTCTGGATCAGAGATTAACAAGACCATAGTAAAATTATTCCTGTAACCCACAACACCATCAAAGTGCCTTATGAATAATATAAAATGGTGCCCTAGCCAGTTTTGTTCAATGGTTGGAGCATCGGCCCACGACTGAAGGGTCCCCGGTTCGATTCTGGTCATAGGCATGTACCTTGGTTGCAGGCTTGATACCTGGCCCTGGTTAGGGCACATGCAGGAGGCAACCAATGGATGTGGCTCTTTCACATCAATGTTTCTCTCTCTGTCTCTGCCCCCTCCTTTCCACTCTCTCTAAAAATCATGGAGAAAATATCCTCGGGTGAGGATTAACAAACAAACATACATACGTACATACATACAGACATACATACATACATAAAATGGTGACATGAAACAAGGTTCCTGGGCTGCACACTAGAACTACGAGATCAAAATGTGTGGCTTGATCCCCAGGAATCTGCATTTTAATAAGCAGATCTCAAGGGTGACCTTTACACATACTTAAGGTAAAAGTCCCAGGTAAAGAGTCCATGCAGTAGAATCTAAAAATTGAGAATAAAAAAGAAGTATCTGATACCTCATCTTTGTCAAAGCATAAAAAATACCCTTGCCTGAAGGCCATGCGTAGACAAACTATTTAATCCATCCACCAGAGGCCAGTGTAGGATTAGTCCCTGTAGTCTTACTACACAATAGACACTATACATAGACACTATTCAATACATACTAATAGTTGGTCTTAACTACTTCAAGGAATATGTTGTAGACAACTAACATTGTAGATAATATTTTACACTTTTCATATTGTAGATGCAAGATTTCTTAACCTTATGCCCCGCTCTTAAATCATAATAGTCCCAATAATCATAAAACTTTACACTTGAGTAAATCTTTAAAACTTACCAAGCACCTTCATATACATATTTCCTCTGATCCTCACCACAACCATATGAGACACCCTGAGCAGGCAGAATTATCCCTGGTTTACAGGTTCAGGGAGAGTAAGTGACAGGTCTGAGGCCTAAAAGAATTAATAAATGCCTGAAGTACGTCTTCTGAATTCTAAGCTAGAATTGTACCTTTTCCATTCACTGGCCCTGCCCACGACGAATCAGAAATATAAGGGCACTAGATGAAACTCTTCATACAACTACATCCCTTCACCCCAAAATCATGCCCTTCTGTCTGCCTACACAAAGATGAGTCTACTTAAGACAACCTCTTTTACTCACGTAGGTGGAAGAAAGTTAGAGGGATTAAATTTTTTCTCTCTCCTTTCCAAATAAATGCTTCTTAGAAGTTTTCAAACTTTCTGAGGTAGAATAACCTCTTCTGCACAAAACTGTATAATCCAGGACTCATCCATTGGCATACAGCCAGCATTAGGGAATGCAAGAGCAGACCTAAATGCTGCATGTCTTTCATTCCCTCATTCTTTCAGGGCACTCCAGAACATTCCCCGGGGGTGCGGGGAGGCGGGGAGAGCTTGAAGTAAAAAAAATAAAAAAGAAGCAGTCTAAAAATTCACAGATCTTATCATTTTTATTGCTATTTTACTAACTCATAAACAGTACTTATTCAAAATAAAACTGAGATAATCAAAAAACCAACAACAACATTCTGGATATTGTTTCATCAGCACCAACTAGAGTAGTTAGTATTGCCCAACCAACCTCTAAACAGTCTATAAGCAGTTGCATTGCTATTGTGCCTTCACACGTCGAGAGCATTCGGAACACACAGCACACAGAAATAAATAAGGGCACATCAGAGTGGGGACCCTGTCTCCTTCACCTTGTATTCCCAGATTCTAGCTCAATGCCTAAAATATAGCAGAACAGTCAGTACTGAAATGACCTCCACATTAGCAAGAAAAACGGGATTGATGCTATAATTAGGGACTGAACGCAATACCCAGAAATTAGATGACTGGCTACAAGTCACACAAAACATAACTTATGGAGAAGAAGAAAATATGGTACTTGATTCACAATCTAATCAGCAATTCGTACACTGTAAAATCCACAAAACACATAAACACAGTGTGATGATTCCTCCCGTGCTAATGAAGCCATGGGCTGCAACATGAACCTCTCTCAGCCAG